CGAGGACAGATAATGACTTTTTTTCAGCACAGGAACTATTCCAGCATCACAGGCGAGCAGTCCTGAAAACGCCCCGTCTCCTGGCTGCAGCCCAAGCCGTGGTTCACATCCTTCCCAAACCACGTTTTCCCCCTCCAGGCATTCACCATGTCCTTGAACAAAACTCACCCAGCCGTGCAGCACCCAGCCAGGTGCCCTGGGATGAGCTCCTGGCTGGCTGGGTCTGGCCAGAACAGCCCGTACTATGGGTAAAACGGGCTCCCAACCGCCCCAAACACCCGGCCAGCCAAGCAGGACAGCCATGACCCCGATCCCCGGGGAGAAACACGCTCCCAGCCCGCGGYGGGACTCACACGGATGTTGTCGAAGGACATCCTGCTGGTGATATCATAGAGCAGGAGCAGGGCTGGAAGAGAAGAGGCAGAGGCATTGTCACACTGTAGGGATGTGCTCGGGATGGTCCCCCCAGTCCCCACGGGACCCCAAACCCACCTTGAGCATCCCTGTAGTAGGCGTGGGTGACGCTGCGGAAGCGCTCCTGTCCTGCYGTGTCCCAGATCTGCCGAGAAACCGCCACGCTGAGAGAGGGGAGAGGAACCTCCCCGAGCTGGGCTTGCTCCTGTGCTCAGCCTCAGGGGGGATTCCACCTGCGAATTGCTTCCCCCCTCCCAAAGCTCACCTGCAACTTCACCTTCACCCCGTCCACGACCACCACTTTGTTCTGCAGGAGACAAGGAGAGCACGTTTATCAGCCCAAAGCGTGTCTTGGGGAGTGTGCCAGCCAGCCCTGGCACAGAGCTGGCGATCCACAGCCCCTCAGCTGCTCTCCCCGGGCTGGTGGGATGATGCCAGGCTGCCTGTGGGGCTGGATGTTGAAACCTCATTGCTACAAACCCCGATCCTGCCTGCTTGGCAGTTGCAGGGAAATCCCAGAGCAGAATCCACGCAAGTCAGGGTGGAGAGAAGCAGAATCAGAGAYGGGACAGCAATGTCCCAGCCTGCCTTGGGTCCGATGCGTCGCTCATCTCCCACAGCCACAGTCCCTGTCCTGTGGCTCTGAATCCCCTAATTGGTCAGTTAATGATGCTGCTGCCCTGCAAATCCTGGAAACACGGATCCACTCTGAATCCTGGAAACTCTGGGATTGCAGCAGCCCCGTGAAATTTGGCAGAGCAGGGGAAGTGGGGAAGTCTGGATGAACCACACATAAACTTGCATTTATTAACAACACCTTGGTGTGCTTTTATGTTTGCTCACCAAAAAGCCCTGATCTTTCTGCCCGGATTCTCCAGCTCCAGGCACTGAGGAACCAATTCTGCACTAAAAATTTGGCCTGTTTGCAGTAATTTAATGGCTTTGGATGCTACAAACTGCCTGAAGACACGCTCTGGGTGATGCTGGGGGCCCCAATCAGGTTTCCTTGCTGCTGCAGCCTTGCTTGGTTCTTACAAGTGGTTGTAAACACTGAGCTGGGGGGGTTGCCTGTAGCACACAGCTTTATCCAGCATGGCAGGARGAAATCTCCTGGGTCAGGATGGTTTTCAGCCAGGCAGCTGGGCTGGAACTGGGAWAGGAAGGAGGCATTTCTAAGTGAGCTGGGAAGGCAGCTATTGAGGCTTAAGCAATCGCTGTTCTCATCTCGGAAGCACAGGGGCTTCTCTCCAGAGGGCAGAAGAAAGAAAAGCAAAAGTTACTGAAAAGCTATTTTAAGACTCTTAAAGAATCGTACTCGGAGGGTTGAGTCTGGAAAGAGAAGACCCCTATAAATAATTTGGTTGCCTGGAATTGTTTGAAATGGAAATTCAGCCCATGTGGGGATGACAGCATTCGAGCAAATGGGCTGGATAAAACAAAAACGTGCCCTGGGAGGCTCTGGAGATTACCTAGAGCAGTGAGCCGTGAGCTGCTGGAGGGGACGCTGGCACGAGGCAGAGCAGGTACCTGCGGGCTGGCATCGCCYCTGGGGACACCAGCACTGAGCCCAGCAGTGGGACACGGCAGATTTTCCTTCTTTCATGACTTTATTGTAAGGACAGGCCTCATGGCCCCTCCAAATAAAACCCACTCCCCTCCCCTCCCATCCAGCCCCTGCTCACCGAGCCCCCACAATCCAAACGCAGCAAAAGTGGCGGAAAACAGGAGCAGCTGCAGCTGCGGGGGCAGAGGAAGCACCGAGCGCGCTCCACACGTGGCAGCGGCTGCGGGCACAGCCCTGCCCGGGGACACCCCCGTGACTTCCTGCACACAGCTGTGCCTCCCTGCATCCCCAGAGTGAGCCTGCAGCGGAAATTCGCTCAGCAGAGAGCAGCGAGGGGGTTTAAACAGATCCTGGCGACCCTGACAACCCCTCTGYAGCCCATCTCAGCCCTTCCAAGGCATGAAATGACAGAAACCAGTGTTTGTCCCCCACAGCCTTTGGGCTTGGCCCAGCTGGTGAAGGGTGCTGGTTGTCCAGCCCATGAACAGAGCTGGGATGGGCAAAATCCAGGTTGTTTGCTGATTTAAAGCCAGGAGGTGATGCTATCAGTAGGGTGAAGCGTTCCTGCAAGCACCTGCTGCTGGTTGGGAGATTATTGGGGTACAGAGGCTGGAAMCCCCCCGTTCCCCCTCCCCAGCACCCCGTCCTGGCTGAGGTGCGGGTTGAGGGAGGCGAGGGGCCGGCAGCCGTGGTGGTCTCACCCGGAAATCTATGCCCACGGTGGCTATGAACGTCCCGGAGAGAAAGGCCCCGTCTTTGAACTGGAGCAGGAAGCAGGTTTTCCCCACGCCCGAGTCTCCAAGTAACATCACCTGCAAGATGGGCGCAGGGACAGGCGTCAGCAGCGCAGGGAGGGAGCAGCACCCCTGACTGGCGCTGAGCCCACCCCGGTTCCTTCTCTCCTTTCATTCCTTTCCCCAGGGCTGGTCCCGATGGGTTGGGAAGTTCTGTGGGAGCTGGAATGGGATGGGATCCCTGAGGGTGCAGCCAAGCAGAGCCACAGGGCAGGAGAGCAGCCCCAGCCGGGGAACAGGGGGAGAGCAGAGGAGGGGAGCTGCTGTGAAGGCAAGAAGAGATACTTCCTGGMCAACCCCCGGCCGTGCCCCAGCCCAGGAGGCTCCTGGAGGAGCAGCCACCGCTCCCAAAAATGCGGAGTCACCTCCGCCCACGCTTTGCCCCTGACCCGGGTGTGCCCTGCCCGAGGGCTGATGCGTGGCTTGGGCAAACCCCGCGTGTCCGGGACTCTGTCCCTGCCGCTGCCTGCTGCAGACACCAAAGCAAACACGGTGCCTTTCCCCTCCTGCTAAGCAAACAGGCTCAGCCCAGGCTCTCCGGCAGTGCCGGACCCGGGCAGGCGGCAGCCAGGACCGATGCTGGGCTCCATAAGCGCAGCGTTCCTGACGCCGTGTTCTTCCTGCTTACCCGGAGCCTGTGCCTGCCCAGCAATCATTAACCTGGCTGCATCTGGCCCCTGATGAAAACCGGCAGCCAGCAGGACTCCAGCAGGAAGGTTCATCCCCCCTGCCCACCCTGCCAGGATGCTGGAGCTTGAAAAGTCTCGCTGCCTCTGAGATAGGCAAACACAGCGAGCCACGGCTGCTTTCCACAGGGATGGCACAGCAAATGCCCGAGCTGGGGGCTGGAAATGCTCTGCCTTTTGTCACCTCACTTTGCTGGGCAAATCCTTCCCCAGGACTGGAGAGCAGCTGRGAACACCGTGCAGTTYTGCTTCTGAACAAYTTAAAAAACTGATTTTCTCCCTCAAACACGAAAATTGCCCTACACTGAGAGAAGTCAGAGGGGGGGATAAAGGCAAAGGAATAAAAGCATTTTGGGGAAGGTGGCAGKGTGCAGGACCGCTTTGGAACCAGCTCAGCGAGGCAGTGGGAGCTGTCAGGTCTGACACCATCAGTGCTGGGCTCAGCCTGAGGCTGCATGTGCAATTTTGGGGGTGAAAGGTTTATCAGTCCCATGCCTCCCCTGAGCTGCCCAAAACAGGAAGGTGCTTCCTGGGGAAATCTTCACCCAAAATGTGATGAGGAAGAGGGGGTTCCCCCCCCACCCCCACCCCGAGGCCTGGCAGGGGTGCAGAGACATTCGCAAGGTGGGTGCTGCGGGGGGGTTAGGGGGGACCTGGGCTGGGTCCGGGGTACAAATGATCACACCTCAGAGCCCTTGGGGTGCTGCAGTGGGCTGGATGGGGTGCTGCTCCCCCGCCCTGTGTCAAGGGGGGCACTGCTCCTGGGCTGGCAACCCCCCCTTGCCCTGAAAGGGTCTGACGGGGCAATAAGGACAGAGCTCGGCCATGCCCCCTTCCCCCGGGAGCCCCCCAAAGCCCTGCTCCTGCAGCTGRTCCCTCCCATTGCCACCGCCGGGCRGGGACAGYCCCCGRGAGGACACAGAACCCCCGCCCCGGGGCAGGGACCCCCGGTCTCCACCTCCCTGGGAGGGAGGATCCCCATCCCCGCACCTGCTGGACCAGGGCACTCCCGGGGCAGAGAAGGCTGGGGACATCAGCTGGGGCTGCCTCCTCCTTCCCCTTCTCCTCCCCCGTCTAGCGGCCGCTTTCTGGGCGCGATCGCAGAAGGGGAGGAAGCGGGAGGCCCCCGGGACCCTTCCTGGACCCCTCCCTGTCTCCCCCGAGCCGGGGGCAAACCCAAATCTTCCCCCCGGTGCATCTTGGAGGGTCCATCCCCGCTCACCCCGCGCTGCCTCCCACCTTGCCGGCCAGCTCGTAGTCCCGGGGCAGAGCMGGGGTGTCCCCGCTGCCCTTCGGGGCTTCCCCGCTGTCCTTCGGGGCGTCCCCGCTCCCCGCCGGGGGGGTTCCGATCCCCGCCGCCCCATCGGGGCCGCCCATGGTGCGTCCGAGCGGAGCGGCCGAGTCCCGGCGCCGCGGGGCCAGCGGGAGCCGAGCCCCACCCGCCTTCCTCCTCCTCTTCCTCCTCCTCCTCCTCCTCCCCGGCCGATGCCACCCCCGAGACTGTGCCCCGGCCGCCTCCCTGCCCAGGCCGGACATGGGATGAGGAAAAAGAGGCTGAAGGGTGGAAACCCGCCCCGCTGCACCCCCAGACGCGGACCCCGGGCACCGCGGTGCTTGGGTTTGCCACGGGCYCGGCTGCACTGGACAGCGGGCAGARCCCCGGCAYATCCCTCCGGACACATSGATGAGGAGGGGACAAACTGCTCACTCCACAAATTAACAGGACCTCCGTCCTTCAAGGGGTGTAGGGATGGAGCCCCCGGTGCTGCCAAAATCCCACCCTGCCACACCGGSACAGAGGGGACGGCAGCTCCCACTGCCACCCCAGGGTGGGGGGTTCGCCCCATCTGCTGCAGCCCCGCCGGTGCCGAGCGGGGTCCCGGGCGAGCAGCAGGGCACGGGGAAGCCGAGAAGGAAGCGGAGCAGGAGCCGTTAGCCGGAAGCCACGGGCTGCGGCGAGGAGGCTCCGCGGYGCCTGTGCCTCATCCGGGACGGCCGCCAAGCCCCCGCTCCCCCCGGCTGCTCACAGCCCCCCGCGTCCTACAGCAGCCTTTGGGGCCCAGCTCATTCTGCGCTTCGKGAAAAGCTCGAGCACGGGAATGTGCGGGAAGGGATGGAGAGGGTTGTTGTGTTATCCAAAATCTCTGTAAAACCCCAACTAAGTCCTTGCACTGCAGCTGCCAGAGGACCTCAGCCCTACAGACACCACTCCACGGCCAGGAGCCTTGAGCCCTCCCTGACCTGTTTGCCCTGGGATATCCCATATACCCCACACCGGGGCGACTCTCAGAGCATCCCTATCCCTACTCACACCCCTGGGATTCAGGGGTGCCGTGCTCCAGCGCAGGGCTGTGCCCCTCTCTGGTCTCCGGGCAAAGGCCACCCGTGTCCGTGGGAGGTGCGATGGCAGAGATGCCATCAGGAATGGCATCCGCCCCCGCGCCTTCCCGGGCTGCCGGCTCCCGCACCAGCCAAGCCTTCCACTGCCCCCCGGGAAATAGAACCTGTATTTCCAGTCCTGTAACTGCGCTCAGACCCAGCAGGAGGATTTATAGTTTCTATATGCTCTTGGGCTAGGGAAGTGCCCAGAGCTGCGGGCTGGAGGCACTCCGAGATCCTGGAAGTGGTTGAGCTTTCCTGCAGAGAGATGGGGAGGGGGCTGGAAGGATGTGGCAAACGGTGCTGGAGCTCATGGAATTTCCTGGGCAGGAAAAATGCCTGGCTGAGCGTCGCTTCCACACRCTGGCATTTGCTGCAGGAGAAACGAGGCAGCCGGGAGCTGGCAGAGATCGGTGGGGAGGCTGAGCCCCCTCTGCCTGCCCAGGGCTTTGCAGGGGCACCCCTGGAGCTGATCCCTGGGCTGCTTGGCCCCAGACCCCCTCCACTGGTCCCACATTTCCCTGTTTCCTTGGCCTGGATTAAAAACAAAGTCCCTGTGGGTAAAGGCATCCCCATGGGTACCAGCCCCTCGCTGAGCCCCAGCCTTGTCACGATGCTGAAGGGATGTCAGTCTCCCTGGAGCGAGGTCCCAAGCACTGTCCCTGTCCCAAGCTCTCCCAGGAGAGGGGACACACACATCAGAGCCACTCGAGACCCCGCGGCAGCTCTGCAAATAGCTCTGGATGGCAGCCGAGTGCTTTTCCCAGGCTCTGTCACCATCTGCCTGACTTCTCGCCAGGGCCCCRGGCTGGACACGGGCAGGACACAGGCTGGCATCTCCCTGGCAGAGCAGCGCTGTTCCAAAGGCATCTTTCCGAGTGTGAAGGAAAAGGCTGTGCTCAGACACGGCCCCACTGAGGGGTTTGGGATGTGGGGCTTTACCCATTCTTCATCCCTTCCCAACAGCCCAAAGTGTGCTGAGAACTGAGCCAAACCAGACCCCTCATCCAACAGCACCAAAKCAAAGTGTCCAATTCTTTGTGCTTACCACAGATTCATAGATTCTCATTCCCCAAATAAAGCTGCTCCCCAAGGTGAGTGCACAGCCCAGGATCAGGAATTGGGCYCTTACCGTAAACCCGATGCCCACCGTGGCGGAGAAGGAGCCAGGAATGAACTTGCCCTGGTCAAACTGGACCAGCAGAGATGTCTTCCCCACGCCGCTGTCTCCAACCAGGATTGTCTGCAAGGACCARGCAAAGAGGTGTCAGTGCAGGTGCAGGTGATGGGGGAAATGCAGGCACAGTGTGCAGAAAGGGACAGACATCTCGGGAGAGGTTGTTGGGAGGATGTGGCAAAGAATGCAGCAGGACCAGGAGGGACCAGCCCAGCCCCAAATCTGTTCCTTTTGGTCCTGCCACCTGCCCAGGGAGGAATTTTCACCCTCTGTCCATGTCTTTAATTAAAGAAATGTGCTCTGGGATGAGGTTCAGGCCTGAGCCCCACTGTACCCTGTCCAAGAGAGGAAAGATGGAAGGGAAGCAAAGCACAGCCCATCATGGAGAGTGAGCAGGAGCCTGGGGAGATGCTGGGCAGAAGCAGCCATGGGTCACGCAGCCCTGTTGGAAAACCTCTTTGGGAGGACTTTGGGGTCACTGGATTGGATCCAAAACAGTTTAGTGAAGAGAGCATCTCCTGCTGCCACAGCCACGCAGCCTCTCCGGGTCACTGGGCTGCCTTTGTGCTGCTGTAACACCGTGGAGCAGCAGCACTCCCTCCTCCAAAGGGATGGGTTTGAAATCACAGAGTCCCTCTGCTTCTCCATCCCTCCCAGGGAAGCTCCAGACCGCTCCCACCGCTGAGCAGAAAGGACAAGGGATCTGTGTGTGTGTCACAGCTGTCACCTCCTGAGCAGTTCCCACACTGCCAGCGCATGGCCCTGGTACCCACACCACATCCCTGGGAAGCTCATCTTCCCTCCTGCTCCTGCCCGTGTCCCTCCAAATCYCTGACCTTAGGGAGACCTGCAGTGCAAACTGAGCCCCTCCTTCCCCTCTGGTTTTGTTCACAGAGAYACAAACATTCCCATCCTTTCAGGAAACAGAGGCACTTTCGACCTTTTCACAGGACACAAGTTACAATAAACACTCTGCTAACAGGCTTCTTGCTCACAAGTGCTTTTGGCGCTGTCTTTCAGGGMATGGGTGTTCCTGCAGCTGCAGCTCTGTCAAACACTGAGTGTCCTCCCTGTCACTGGTCCCCTGCCACCCCCAAGGCTGCAGGGCTGAGCCAGTGAAGTGCTGGGGCTGARCTCCCCACTCTCTGCATCCACCTCAGCTGCATCTCTTTTTTTCCCCCTTGGTTTGTGTTTGGGCAGCTCTGGCAGCTTTGCTTCATCCCAGGACACTTCAGCCCTTCATCCCCACCCTGAAGGTGTTTCAGTACCTCCCCAATATCCAGGGGAGCCTCTGTGCATGTCCAGTCCCCTCTCCCATCCCGAGGTGTCCCAGGGTGTCTCTGGCACCGCTTCAGGCTCTGCGYATCCCCCTTGTRAARCACAGKWTGAGTGTGCAGGRATGTGTTTAATYGAGTGCCTGAGCAGCCCCAGCAGAYCAAAGCCAGATTAATGCTCTGGGAGGCCATGTGGGATCCACAGCACCTGGCACCATGGTTTCTGCCGCCCACAAACCCCCCAAAAGTGATTTGAAAGCAAAAGCCAAGGAACTTGGGGACCACAAACAACACATGGACATGGACTGGCAGGAGATCAGCATGAAGCATCACCCCACAACCTGCATGGAGCCTGTTCACACCGATACACTCCAGTGAACCTTCTCCTCAGTGAATCAGCACTTTTCTTTGAAAAAAAAAAACCCATCCCAAACATCGAACCACTCCTGAGAAGAGCCTGACCCGCTGAGCAGAGCTGTTGGCAGGAGGGAACCCTGCACCTCTGCCAGATGCAGGCTGCTGCACAGCCCCGTGTGCTGAGAGGCAGCAACCTGTGCCCTGATCCGCAGGCAGAGATTCCTCCCTCCTCCCTGCCTGGGCTTTTGCAGGTCACTTGTACTTTCAGAGCAGCCTCGTGAGCTGGGAGCCTGCACGGGATCCGGGGGCATTTTGGGAGGCAGAAACCTCTGGGCCCGAGGATCTGGGTCACCCCTTTCCCAGGGGAAATTTCCCTGCCCAAACCCCGCCTTGGCTTTTCCCTAGGGCCCAGAACCTTTCCCTGTGCAGAGGATATGCCCAGGAGCAGCTGGATAGGAAAAAAACTCMAAGAATTCATTACTCTGGGGCTCCTGCCCCTCAATGCTGCCTATTTTGGTGTTGCACACTATTTCCAGTAAAATACTCGTGCTGGGATGTGCAACAAGACTGGGTGAACCCCGCAGCGCTGTCTTTGGGAGCAGTTAATGCAGAGAGCAGCATTAATTATGGAGRGAGAAGAGCTGGYTGGAATGAGCACCAGAAAGCCTCCAGAGCCCAGGGTTTACAGAGAACATGTATAAAAGGCAGATTCCTCTATTAATAATTTAAATGGGATTCATAATAGAGACAACTCATGAATTGCTTCATGACTTAATAATAATAGTAGAAGTTGGCCTGGATCAGCCAAGAGATATTCTTAATGACTTTAGGAAAAGCTCACAGGCTCTGTGGAGGCACAGCATAGTGGAAATCACTGTGGCCTTCCTGGTTACCAAATAAACAAAAAACAAGAAAAAAAAAAAAAAAACACTGTGGGGAAGATGTGACCAGTTAGCCCCTGAAACCTCAGACTGGACATGGCTGAGTCATGATAGCAAAGTCTCACAGTGACAAATTTCCGTAGTTGTCCTGACTCTTCCCTCATCACAGACTGACCTCTCCYGCACCTCTCAGTCCCCCAGGATTTCCCCAGATTTTTTTTTTTTCTTTTGTATGGGCAACTTGAGTAAAATGTTGCAAGATTCTTTTCGGTGCTGTTGTTCCTCTCTTGTGGCGTGAGGATGGAGCAGTGCCAGGGCAAGGCACAAAGGGACAACTTCCCGAGATCTGGAGACTCACTGGGTGACAGTCCCACGTCACCTCTGCTGAGTCCCAGCACCATCAGAGCAATCTTTGTTTCCAGCTAAAGAAAATCATTGCCCCTGGGTGAGCAGAGGTAACCCCACTTCTCCACCCCCCCACAGCCCCACAGAAAAGCTACAAAAAAAATGTAACACCCTCCTCTTTGCCTGCTCTGCCTTAGGAAAGGAGCAAACATCCCTCCCCACACCGTGAATTAGTCGTTTTGGGGTTAATTCAGAAGTAGATTCACTTCCAGTYAAAATCATTGCTGGCTCGGCATGGGCTGCAGAGACAAGGCAAAGCAATTCAAATTTCCCGTCCCCGTGCTGGCAGCCAGCGAGAAAAAGAGATATTTTGGTCAAACCTGCTGAGGGAAGAGAGGCTCTGCACGGCTGTCAAGGCAGCGCAGGGAGGCGGCCGCTGCAATTCCGGTGCCAGCCAAGCGGGAGCAGATCTGGGACAGCGCGAGTGGGTTGGGGTTGTCTTCCCAGTTCATTTCCGAGATTTAACATGCAGAACCTGGACCTGAGCTAAATATAGCCAGTGGAAGCGTGGCAGGGTGAAACSCCAGCCAGGGGGATGCAGGGARGGGAGAAGTGCCCTCCATGMRCTGTGGTGTTGTCAGAGAGCTGCYGAAGCCCCAGACCCACAGGTTTTTGCCAAGGTGAGCAGGATTTATCACAACAGATTGTGGCAAATGTGTACGTGCCCCCCAGCACAGCTGCCTGCAGAGCTCAGCTGGGACATGGCCCTGGGAGATGTCTGAGGGTGAAGCTGTGGCTGCTTTCAGCTCCTCTTCACCCCACTCTCATGTTCACTCAGGCTCAGACTCTCAGTCCTGAACCTGATTTTTAACCTGCTGTCTCTGTACAAAATTGTGCTGCTTCCCCCCTGCTCCAAGCAGTGCTCCAGGACAGTTTGGATGCTGCTGGGTGATGCTAGAGGCTGTCCTGTGCTGCAAGGACAGTTCAGGGCTGTCCCCACCTGCCCAGGCACTGTTTCACCATGGCCAAGACCTTTACAGTGCCTTGAGCCAGAGCCTGGGGCTCTCTGCCAGCCCGGCTGGGTCCCGGCCCTGGCAGAGGCTGCATCAAACAAAAATTGGCTCAGATCGTGCAGGAGATCCCTGTTTGCAGCCCCCTGCTAACAGCTTGGATCAACCACAGCCGAGGAGCACGTCCCTGTGCCCCCAGATCCTGCTCCAGATAAATGCATCCAAGAATCAAGCAGGAAGGATGATTTAGCAATGGGTCAAACCACCTGAAAGCAGAATTCATCATTTTGTATAAAGCAAAACTTTTCTGGAACAGCCCAGARCAAACCTCTGCTGTTCCTGCTTTGGTCTGCTCCTGGCCTGTTTCCTCCCCAGGCCTGGGTTAGGCACCAACCAGAAAYCATTTGATCCTCATCTCCAGACTGTGAAGCTCTCTTGGGGGTTTTCAGCACATCTGAAATGTGATTGCTTGCTCGGACACAAGATCTAGTGAGTTATTTGCTGCCTCAATTCCCTGGAGTGAGAGCAGCCTTGTTTCTGCAAGACAAGGAGCCCAGCCAGGAGCAGCAGAAAAATACCAAGGGTTACAGCAGGGAATGTGGACTGGAGTGGTTATTTTCCTGGGCAGATCTTCTGCCCAGAGCCTCATTTCCACCAGTGTCATTCCTTAACTGCAGCAGCTCATCGCTGGAGAAGAGAGAGTTAAGGCTTTGCAAAGAATCAAAGTTTCTCCAGTCATCCCTGGAGGCATGTCCTACGTGCTCCATGTACAACAGAAATGAGAACTGCTAGTAATTGATATTTTTCTGCTAATCAGGGGCTGGGCACATTGCCCTGAGTGCAGCAGGACCCAGAACAGACTGAGATTTGTGAAGAGTGATCCACAGAGCYCCAGCCCTTCCCCCTGCCTTGTCCCACCCCTGCTTTTCCCTGGAGGTGCCAGTTCCTGCACCGTCACCGGGGACTGCGGGAAAGCAGTGTGAGGAGAACAGGAAGGAGTGCTGGGTGGATCTGTCATAAATCAGCATCTCCTGCATGACTCCAGGACTTGCAGGGCAGCACCTGACAGCAGAGGGCAAGCAGCCCCGCTGCTGCTGTCCCCGCCGCAAATCCTGAGCCCCACACGTCTTGCAGGGACGCCACCAACCCTGAGCACCGTCGGTGCAATCGGAGTTACAAAACACAGTCCCGGGAGTTACAAAACACAGTCCCGGGAACACCGCAAAAGAGAAGGATTTCAAAGCAAGAAGGGCAGGAATGGAAGTCTCTGGGACAGCGCTGTTTCACGGCAGGGAAATCCCGGCTCCTCAGGCTGCTCTGGCAAGCACAGCCCCGGGGTTCAGCTGCCCCCGAGCCGCCCCGAGCAYGCACAGGACAGCGGGAGCGGCTGAAGGGCGGCTGCGGGCTGTGCCGCGGGGCTGGCCCCGTTCCAGCMCTCCCGGCTTCCCGAACACGCCGAATCCGGCCACCCCGCTGCCCACCATCACCCGGGATGCGGCTGGCACCGGGGCCAACCCCTGCGAGCTCCCCCACGAGGGGCACAGAGCTGCCGCCGAACCCCGCCGGGATGGGGGTGACAGACGGATCCACCGGGCGACGAGGAGCGAGGATTGCAGAAGGATGGAATTTGTSGGGAAGTTCAAACAGGCGCCCAGCTCCGCGCACCCGCTCTGCAGCCCCCTCCCCAGTGCTCCCATCCCCATCCCCATCCGCATCCCCGGCATTACCTTGTGCAGCAGCGCCTCGTTGTAGCCGTCCCCCCCCGGGCCGGCGGCGCGGGCCCCCATGGCCGGGGGGGTTTTTGGGAGCTCGGGGCCGCTCCTGCAGCACCGCGGACAGCGTTCGCTCTGCTCAGCACCGCGGGCAGCGCCCGCCC